CAAGGGCCCCAGTTAAATCTAAAACTACTTTAGATCTGAGCTTGCAACTCAGGTTCCAGCAGTTTGGCCCATTCAGCATTGTAGGGGTGAACAAGATGTGTTGAACGCTCCTGCTTGTCTACCATCCCCCTTCCTTCTCTGGCCCATTTTGCCAGCCCCCCTTTTGCATTATAAATCTTCAGAAAAGGCTTGAGTTTTTGGCCACGTTCACTAGACAAGAAGTCATTCAGGCTCTGAGCTGTCAGGGAAGCTCTGTATCCCACAGTGCAATAGCAAACTACACGTTTCTGTTTTTCAGGTTCTGAAATAGAAAAAAAAAAGTAATTAGAGGTGGAATTAAAATTTATTTACCAACTACAAAAATCCACAAACCTCCCTACTTGCTAGTCTGGTGTAACCAAATGCAAACAATCTAAACCTAGACATCCAAAACTTACAGCATTTCACAATGTCCCTGTGTGTGTGATGAAGGAAGTCTTATTCAGCTCTTGAACTTTGCAGAACCTCCAGTCTGCTGTTATGATTAAGAATAATATGACCAATATGTAGCTGGCGTGAGGATCTCTATTAGTTTAAGCACCAAATTAACCATTTGTTTCTTACTCGCTAAACACAGCCAAAACACAAGACAAAGTAGAAGGGATATAGTTTTCATGAATTTCAAATTCATGCCAACAATTTCCTTAGTTTGATGCAAAATCCTTTATGATGTTTTTCCTGCATCCTTCAGCTAAGAGCCACAGAAAAAAATAAAAATGCAATGGCTGAAAAGTGGATCAAATTAAAACACAGCATATTTAAACGGGCTTCAGATGACAAACAGTACCTTTCTGAAGATGTTCTTGCAGAATTTCTTGTATATTGTTACTCTCGGGGTCAATGCGTATTGCCCTGGGCAAATGGCTGACCTCAAATTCATCTGCCTTCCGGATGTCCTAAGAATAGAACACTGATATATTTTTAACTAGCTCATTAAAGAAAAACATACTTTCAGACCATGCAAAATATAAACTTGACATTTAAACTTCAAGGTGTCTGTATTTTTTTGTCTGAAGATGCATATATATACATACACACATATATATATGCACATTTCTGTGCATATACACACATATATATGCACATTTCTGTGTCTGCAGCAAAAGACAGACTTTCAAGCCTTTGGATGACTAAATTTACAAATTCATTTAATAGTCTTTAGATTCAAATAGGCTATCATAGGTTTCCTTTTGAAATGCACATTATCTGACAGCTCCTTAAGCCCAAAAATAAAACGCAGTGAACAGCTTAGCCTTTAATTAAATATGTTCTAACAATTGTTTCAGTCAGTGATAACTATGATCTTGTTTCTATTGAGTACAATTATAGCATGGGTATAAAAAAAATTGCAGACTTTATACTGACTTGTTATAAATATAACATAATGTGTACCCTGTTCTCTGTTATTTAACCATATTTAACACAAGATATTCTCCAGTCTGCAAAAAAAATGCCTGACATTTTATGGATAAAATCCTTCAAGATGTATTGATACAGAAAATGGCAAGTTTGCTTTCTATGCTAAAGTCAAAAGTAAAATATATGAACCAAAGGGGACAGCCTGGGATCCAAACATTGGGCATGAAGTACTTTTTGGTCCACGAGACCACTGCTTTCAATGATCAAGCCTTGCTGCATCTTCTTTCTGATGACAGTGCACTGTGCTATGATCTCAGACACGGACTCCTGACAACAGTGTCCACATTCAAGACCTAACAGCAATTCAGAGCAATTTTCTCCAGCGTACAAGGGAACCTTGCTGCTTTCAGTTCTCGAAAGTGGCTCCATCTAATGGTTGTCTCTATATCAGGACAGATTCTGGAACTTCTCCTGAAGATTTATTTGAATTTACTCCATATACTGTTCCATTTTCTAAAAATGAATTACTGCCAGTGCAATTCTTTTCAACATGTGTAAATTAGAGGCTATATTCTGGCATTTTTTCTCAGATTTTCTGAAACTTATCAGTATAATGTTTCAGCTTAAATAAGTTTCAGCCAACTTTGATTCTAACATATTCTGCCAAAATGTTCTAGAGAAAACAAAGGCCAAGCAACAGTGTTCAGATAGAGTCAATAACAGGGACTGCAGTCTGGTCCCTACAGAAGGAGAAACTGAGGCAGAGATGTTGTCACTGTTTCACAGCAATAACAAGGAAAAATCCTGGCTCATAGGCATATGTTGACACTTAAACCCTGGAAGTTTGATTTAACTGGGGAAAAAAAGAATCCCTCTTTACCTAGAGAATGTTCTTTATGACTCTGACTTTTAATTTTGCTCCTAGCTTTGGTGGTCAAAAATCAAGATGCTTAACTTAATTCCAGCAAGCCTACATAGTAATTTAGTTCCAGTGACCAACCCTTTCGTAGGATCCTCTCCTCTGAAGTCAGTCTTGGGAGAGAAATCACATTCCAGAATAGCAATGCAGACAGGAGGGATCTGTTTGATCTCTGCTTTTAGCCTGAAGGCTGTGTTTACGGGGGAGTGACTTGGTATGTTTTGGTATAGTAATGGTTGTATTCCACAACCACTAAAACCTTTTCTGAAAAAAAGCACTGCTATTTTATTAAGAAAAAAATAAGCACAAATCCTTTTTAGATATTTTTGTAACCCAGTTCACAGGGGGAAAAGTATCATGCTATGTAGAAAAAGAAGGTATTATGGAAAACCGCTAACCAAGATACCAAAAAACCAAGACAGTTTAATGAGTGAAAATAGCCATCACTTCTTTAAAAAAACCTGACAGGTTCCAGGTAACCCTATAAGCCTGTACACAGTGCTAATGATACAACTGCACTGTAGCTGAGCTAGGCTAACAGTGCTAAACCACACAGGTTTATTTTAGCCAAAGTCTAAAAAAAAAGAAAAGAAAAGAAAAAAAAGGTATGTGACATGAGGCAGAACTGCAACTTTTGGAATAATTTAGTTTTACAACCTCTGAAGCTGGGCTCCTCTCCAGGGTGCTGATGCAAGAGTGCAGCTCTCCTTGCACTCTTGGCATATTTATTGACTGGATTCACTCTCAGCTAAATTTTAAGCTGATGAAGAATTAACTACAGGGGTCGACTGAAATCTCCTTGGCTCATTGTAAACTTGCTATTACAAACAAACCAAAGTCCAGTCCCCAAACCCTTCCCAGTACGAGGGAAG